CCAATTAGAAGGTTTTCGGTGATATTGGAGAAAGCAATTTCAGTATCAAGTGAAGTCAGATTTTAAAGGACTGAGTAGTAAGTGGCTGGCGAGGCAGTGGAGGTAGCAAGTGCATACTAATCTTTCTATATGATTAGCAGTGAAGGGGAGAGTAGTGGAGAGAGATGTAGAACAACATCTTGAGGGGATGACAGAATCAAGGGAAGGTAGTTGTTTGTTTTAAAGGATAGGAGAAACTTGAGTATATTTGTTTGCAGGAAAGGACTAATAGAGGAAGAAATTGAGATAAGAGAGAATCACTGATATAGCAAGGCCCCAGAGGAGACCAGAAGGAATGGGATCAAGGCCACAAGTGTCAGGGTTAGCCTTGGTAAAGAGGAGGGTCACTTGTTCATCTAAGACTGGAGCAAAGGAAGAGAGGATAAATGAGGACACAGGGTTCTTCGGCTTCTTCTGTCACTCTTTATTCTATTCTTCAATGTATCAGAGTAAACCCCTCAAGAAAACCCATTTTCTACCTTTCCCTCCCTCACCCCTGCCTTCCCACCTTACCTTTTCAGCCTTCACTCCTCTTCTCCCTCCACATAGTGTGAAGTAGTGGATGGTTTGGAGCGAGTGCAAGAAGGGAAAGTCAAATGGTAGTTAGAGGATGGTAGGAGCCCTCTTTAGTTCCCACCTTTTATCTACCACGAGCCCTCATATGAAGTGCTTGAAAATAGACACGTGTGGAAATAACAATGACTTGGGTTTTATTTCTGTGTTCATAAAAGCTGAAAAAAGTGCTTCAGTACGCAACTGGACTTTTTATTTTGTCTCAATCGAGTAGGATCCTATTTAGAAATCAACTTTACTTTGACTCTATGACATGCAGATGACCTAAAATGACCATTTAACTTCAAAATTTTAGTACTTTACTCTCTTCTCATTGGTATAATTATCAGGCTTACTGGTTAAGCATGATAAATTATATTTTATTTTTGTATCAGATTGCCATTGATGGACATTTACTGCTACCATTAGTTATATCTACTAGATAAAATTTACAAATATATACACTGAATTAATGAATTTAGATATATTAATATATTAATTGCTGACCTCATGTTTATAGCAGATATAATAGCCATCTTTAATTATCACAATTTTGAATAAATTCCAAGTTCCTATTTCTACATGAAACACTATAATTTTTCAACAAAGATGATTTATTAATAACATAACCCAGTAATATATATGTATGTATTATTTCATAGTCCATAGCATGGAGGTACTATTTGTGATAACTCAAATCAAGTAAAATCCTTCCATGTTCCAGGACAGGAACATAAAGTGGGGTGCAATTTTCAAACCTTTCCATGTCAACTAGGTCTCTATACTCTATACTAGCACTTTTTCATTGAACAGATATGGAACCATTTCCTGATCTGTTGTAGATTTAAATGAATTTTTCAATATTACCCAATCCACTTGAAACAGCCACAGCTTTTTAATGATGTTTTGTGATGATAACTGTGAACGGTATTCAAGCTATCCAGGACTTTTCCAATTAACACAGATATTTAACAACATATAGATTCTATTTCACATTAGGAGCCAGGAATGCTTCTTTTCTTCTTTGTTATAAACAAAGAAACAGCTGATAAGCATAAAGATCAAAGCAATGGCTTTATAAGTATTTTTTTTCTAGAAAATGGAGCTAATATTGCTGAGCCATCAAATGATTGCTTTTAACAATCAGAGAAAAAATTGGTAATAAATATTTGTTGAACAGATGAATTACTAAAGGAAGAGATGAATACGTATTTACAAAAAAAGCACATCTAACAAAACTCATCTTTTTTAGTTAGCATCCTTTCAAGTTTTTTGTAAGCTATAACTATATTATTATATTAAAAGAAATACTCAAGATATTTATTTATATCTGTTTGAGTAAAAGCAATACCAACTTATTAAATACCTGCTATATGCAAAGCACATCTATTAAAAATGACATAGTTTGCACCTTCATGGAGCTTATAATCTTGTATGGAGATGAAACCTGTTCTCATGTAACTATGGTATAAGTAAGAAAAGTTTTAAATTTATTGCAGATATATGAGAATTCCATGAATGAGGGAGGGAAGCAGGAAGGGAAGAAAAGAAAGAGGGAGGGAGGGATCACTTCTAGCAGCAGAAATCTAGGAAGGTGTCATGGAAGGAGTGGCACCTGAACTGAACCTAAAATAGTAGTAGGAAAATGATTTCACTAGATGGGAGATGTACCAGGCCTAGAAAATAGCACCTGCATAGAAAGAGACATAGGGAAGAGTTGGCTGAGATCAGAGAATAGGTATTGATTGGAATATAGACTATGCAACGAGGAATATAGAAAATAAGGCTGGTGCCTGACTACTGGGGGCCTTAAATGTCCAGCTCTATTTTATGTTTTATTCAAGTAGGCAATGGAAAGCCACTGAAGCTTTATAAACAGGAGAATGATCTTTTCATATTTCTACACTAGGAAAATTAGTTTGGCAAAAAGGATGGATTGAAAAGGATAAAAGCTGGTGAGAGGAAAACTGGTGAAGTGGCTACTATTACAATGCAGGTGAAAGGTTTTGAAAGCCTAGATTGGGGCCTAAAGGATGTAGGTGTAAGGGAAAGAACAAATCAGATGTAAGGTTGAAAGAGAGGGAAGAATCAAGGATGATTTTCTCATTTCTAGGCTTGGTGACTAGGATAGTGGTGACATTGAGAGAACTGGATAATTGTGTTGATAGAAAGAAAATGATATTCATAATACTTTCAATTCTTTTATGCTGACAAAGTCACTAAAATGTTATATTACTTTTCAATGTAATAACAATATTAAGTCTACTGAAAAAAAAAGAACATTGTTTATTCTTAAATTGACTGTAAGCAGCAACAACAAGGCAACTAACAGATATAATCTATTAAACTACGAGTTTTCCCTAGTTATTCATTATCCTTTCTGTGGATTACATAGGAATGTTAGTGCAAACTGGGCCCTTGTCAGCATACGTTAAATAACAAAGCAATTTTTAAGGAATGAACTGAATACTTCCCAAATTTCCAAAGCCTTTCCCCAACTTAGCTAACCATTTTTTTTGTTGCATGACATGTTTCCATAGCTACACTTTAGCAGGATAACAATTGTATAAATTGATCATAATTCCAAAGAAATAAAATAGTATTGGAGCAGAATATTTTAGATTCGACTCAGCATAGTATCAAGACATGTTACTGCAATCTATGGAAATTCTTTTAAACCTTAGACTTAACGATTGTCAGAATCCCAACATGCCTTTTAAGGAATAAATACAATTATTTGGTTTTCCTCTTTTACTCCAGTTACTAACCTTAACTCTATTATTGATACCCGAACTAGTTTTCCTAAACATGATCAAAACTAATGAGACTTAAGAACATCTTATAATTATTTCCTCCCCTTGTGAATGTGTACAATCCATGTTTCAAATATCAATAATTTTATTTTTCTTTGGCCATTATAAGCAATCATTTAATGGCTCAAGAATATTCACTTAATTTTTTAGAAAAAAGATTTTTTTTTTTCCTTTTTAGGCAATTGGGGTTAAGTGACTTGCCCAGGGTCACACAGCCAGTAAGTGTCAAGTGTTTGGTCTGAGGCCGGATTTGAACTCAGGTCCTCCTGACTTCAGGGCCGGTACTCTATCCACTGCACCACCTAGCTGCCCTGAAAAAAGATTTTTAAAACCATTGCTTTTGACCATCAATTTTCAATGGATCTAAGATATATTTTATACTATATTTAAAAAGGAACTGGGGATAGGAAGTGGTCCTGTGATTTAACTGGTATTGGGAACTCTCAGAAGAGAAAACTCCCTTAATAATACCAGTCAGCCCCTTCTCTGAAACTTGTTAGTCTTAGATAATTGCCTGGAGGACTGAGAGGTTAAGGGACTTACCCAGGATTACTGAGCTAGTATGTATCAGAGACAGGGACTTCTAGGTTCCAAGGCCAGTTCTTTATGTACTACACCATGCTACCCCCTCTATATTAGAATATCTCTTTTAATCGGCAAAACTCTGGATAATTTGAGTATTGGTTACAGTACTGATCACAACAGGTCATTGTGGTTGTTTCAGGTGAACTGGGAAACAACAGAAAATCTTCTCATATTAGCATGTACCAGGAATTGAATCCAAATCTTTGAATGGAAAGGGTTGGTTTATGGGCAAAAGCATGGATTCTTAAACAAAGATTAGGCAAGGCATACAAATATCCCAAAGAAAATTTAAAAATTGTACTCCCCCATATGTTTCTTTCTACAGGAGAGGCAGAGTCTTCACTATAATATGCGAGATGGAGGTATTAAAATATAGGCATTTACAAATATTAATATCTAGACCATTCATTAAATGGTGGACTCTAGGTTCTTGAAGATTATGCTAGGGAACAAAAGCTCAGACAGGTCCTAGTGAGTTAGCAGCTTTGAATATGAGCTAAATGTCACTTGAGAATTAACTATGTTCAGAGAGGCTCCTCAGAAAGATGGCTATCAGTTGCCTCTTTTTTGGGGGGGGGCACATTGACTCATCAAGCCATCTATTAAAGCACAGATGGCATTACAACTCACATCACTAGAGGGAGTACCCATACACTGATGATATCACAGATCTTTGAATTACATTAAAATACTTCTCTTATTATGCCTTATTATAGATTGTGCTCTAGACCCTGTCTAATTTGCCTACCCCTAGTTTGGACTCAAACCCCCAAAATACATGAACTAGATGATAGATCTGGATCCAAATGATGTGATAATATCTGCATTGATTAAAATTCAATATTTTGGTCTGCTGTTAATTCGCTGTGTTGACAAATACAATAACCTAAGTTATTAAAGCTCTTAAGTAATGCTTCTTTTCAGTATTTTAAAAAATCTGTATATAAATACTCCTCCTTAGGTGTCAAAACCTTGAGTCTTGCCTAGGTACAATCAATAACTGTCAGTTACCTGGAGAAGCCATTCCTGAAGGTACAGGACCAATTCAGCTCCCGTTCCAGAGCCCAAATCACTGGCTCTCCTGGCTGCAATCAAACCACTGGTAGCCACCTGGGGATTGATTAGTGAAGGCTCCATCATATGAATAGTCTAACTTTGTGAAACTGAGTTACTGCCTACTCACTGCTCTTCCTTTTCTGTGACTAACAAACTTACCTCTATCTTCCTACTCCTCTCATCTCTTTTATCCCAATAGATGTCTTTTTCTCCATTACTTCTCCGTATAGTAATATCATGACCCATCTCAGCAAACCCTTTCAAATTCCTGATCCCTTTCTGCAACACCTATTCTACTTCCACAATAGATTCCATTTTATTCTCAGACTCTTCCCTCTTATGCTTTCTCATTTTTGGTAGTAACCCAAACCCGGATCCTTTGCTGACCACTCCTATTTCCCTTGCTTCATTGTGCCGAAAGGAGGAATTACTCTCCCACTGCCATTTTCAGATTTTAACTAGGTTACCAACACTGAAAAACCTTTTTTCTCTAAAGTTCAAACTATTCAATTGTTTAAACCATTCTTCTGACTTTTGTCACTGCCACCAACTAACCTACATGTCACTTTTTTACTTGCTTCAACAACATTCTTCCTGTACTATGCTCTCATCCTAGATGACTTCACTATTCATATCGATGACAACTTGAACATCAGCCTCTGTGTTCCCAAACCTCTTCAATTTTTACTGACCTCCAGCTTCACTACATTTCAGTCACTTACTGGTGTAACACTCAAAACTAATGAACCCCCAAATTACTGAATTCTCAGATTTCTTTCTCTAACTAGTCAGTGTCCTGTCCTTCTACCTTCTATATCCTCATTTCTCTTGAACATGCTGTGTCTTCTTAGGAGCACCAGTTCCTTTGAACTCTCTCAATTTTCCTGGTCCATCTGGCTATTCTAGCTCAAGACATTTTGTTCATGAATTCTACTCCATTCTTGAATCCCTACCCCTTTTGACATTCCTTTGTTCCCTTCCCACAATTTCAACCCTGGAAAACCTCCTTGTGTGCTTTTGCACTATTAAGTGCTTCTGAGGAAAGAACAGACCCCTGAACAAATTCTGACTTTCTCATCTTCCTCACCACTGCCCTTCCTGCCCATATCATATAATCAGTTGCTAAGTCCTACTGATTCTCTCTTACCTCTCTTTCTCATCCATCCCCTCCTTTTGAATGCCACTACTATTATCCTCCTTCAGGTTCCCATCACCTGTTTCTTACACTTTTAGTCCCCTACCTTCTGCCTCTGCCAAACAACTTTGTTAGCTTGTTTACTGAACACCTCCACAATCTGGTTCCAACTTGCCTTTCTTCACATTACTAATCCCTTCTGTTTTCTATGCTTAAGTATTTATTATTCTCTGATTTTATCCTGTATTCTTCCCCAAATGCCCCCATGTCTGAAACGGATCCTCATCCCTCTCTCCCTTCGACCCCAATGTGTACACATACAATCCCATCTTTTTAAATAATTCTTCTCCTATAAAATCTAGTTTGAATATCCTAAAATCTTTGATGCCTCTCCTTGTACTGCTCTCCTCCAAACAAGAGGTAACTTGTTCTACTAAATTTTTTTCATGCCACACTTACCTCTCCCCTAAGTATTCAAGTGCTAGCTTTGGCATCAGGAGGACCTGAGTCCAAGTTCCAGCTCTGACATATACCAGCTGTGTGACCCTGGCCAATCCATTTAGCCTCTTAGTGCCCCCAAGCAACTCTCAAGGACAGTAAATTACTGAAGAGATGCTGAGCATGTGTTTGAGTAGAGGGAATTTCCTCACAAGTAATTCCCTATTCCAATAAAATCGCAAATCTGAACCCCTTTTTTTCCCCAAATAAGAAAAAAGACTTGAATTATAATTATGTACATTTCATGCCTCCTACTAGATTTTCAGCTTCTCGAGGGCAAGGACTGTGTTGTTTTTCATTTCTATATTTCCAACAACTACTAAAGTGTCATGTGTGCATGAATATTTAATACATGTTGAATTTAACAAATAAAATATTAATTGATAGTAACACAAAGACAAATGCAACACTTTTGTAAAAATGTATTTTTAGGAAATTAAGATAATATTAGCCATAAAATAACTTTTTAACTAAGAAAAAATAAGTTTAAAGATATAATTTGCATGTACAGAACATTTCAAATGATGTGTGTATGCATGGGGAAATGTCAAAAGACCCTTATTCAAAGCTGCAATATGATATAGAATGACTGCTGTGCTGGGAATCAGAGTATCTCACATGGGTTCCACCAGTTGTGTGATATTGAATAACTTACTTCACCTCTCTAGATCTCTGCTTTATAAGCCATCAAATGATGAGGCAGGATTAGTCAGTCTTGTCTACAAGGCCAGCCCAACAAAAGCCAAAGCCGTAGGATCATAGATTCAGGAGTTGTAAAGAGTGTTAGAGGGCATCAAATGGTACCTTCCAGTTGTACCAGATAGTTCTAGACTATCTGAGCCTATAATTTCAGACTTTCAAAGTCTATACATTCTGATATACTGATATAAAACTATATCAAGTATAATATAGGAAGTATACAGTGTTATGTTATGTAAGCATACGGTTAATTATTAGATGTAACATATAGTGTGACTATATCTTTAAGTGTTCTAATTTCAAAGTGTTGTATGTAATCATACTCCCAAGGAATTCATCAGTTTAAACAAATGGAAGAACCATTTATGCCCCAACACTAATCATCTAAACTGCACAATAGTGCATGACTTTAGACTGCTGGGAGAATATAATCAACTGAATTCAACATTATTCAGGTTAGAGCAATAAATACAGAATGGTTAGACTAAACCAGGGCGGAAGAATATAAAGACTACTGAACTCAGGGCCTAGGGCTTTTTTTTTTGTGTATGAAAAGGATTGTTTCTGAGCCCACAATTCTTCAAACACTCATAGCTCCAGAGTAAAGACTAATAAATAATACTGCTAATCACACACATGCATATAAATTCTATTTGCAAACATCCATCTAAGAACTAGCTAAGCAATATAATTTCCTCCCCAAACCTGATTGTGGTGATTTGTAGATGGGCAGAAAATACCTACCTAAATGAGAACAAGTTCCCAATGTCTTCCTCCTGAAAGATTTCGTATGTCCGTATTAAGGTGCAATTGCCTAAAAAGAAAAAAAAAAACATAATAACCCTTGCTTTTGTTAAGTGTTTTTTTTAAAATATTTTGAAACTTTTAGTAAAATATTGATATTTGGAGATTTAGCTCTTCTAATAAGCAGACAGGGAAAAGAAATTGGTAAAGTATTTTCTTAAGCAACCAATTTTCTTCTTTTAGTAATTAGGGAAACCATGTGGATAGATAAAGGTGGTATGACACAAATTTGAGAAGGTGGTGTTTGCAGGTTCACATCACACAGATGGCTGTTAAGATTGTGGCTTTGTAAGTGACTGTATAAGGTAGGCAATTCAAATCTTTGAATTGGGTAGGAGATCTTTAGTATAATATTTGAATAAAATAAAAATTAGGTTAATAAACATAGTACTGCCAAGAATAGTTCCAAGAATAAAATGTATTTTTGCAAATATTTTCAAATGAACTTTGTAGATCACTAAAATGAATAATTTGGACCTTACATGTATAGGCTCTTAAGCTACAGGAAAAGATGTAGATTTGTTTATCTAAATGTATAAATCCAATGAGATTGTAAATTGTGTTTCTTTTACCCTTCCATATCATATGTTTACAAATACCAAATAGGTCATCACCTCCCTAGTGCTTAGGAAGGGTCCATCTGCTTATTTACAAATATAGTTTACCTGAAAATGAGTTTTAATATATTCACAACAATAGGGAGCACAGTGGTTAATCTAAACTGTAACAATCTTGTAGGTCAAAATTCAAAACTAAAAAAAAAATTAAACTATTAAAAAAGGTGATTAATACATTGTATTCATCAAATATGAAAGATTAATCCAGTAGCAAATGGATACAAATTATAGACAAAAATAGTTGCTGGAACACATTAATCAATTTACTTGGATTTAGACATTGAAATACAAGAAGCATTTTTTAAAAGTGCCTTATGTGCAAAGCATTGTCTTAAGCTAATGCATATACTTTATTGGACAACTACTGAAAGGCAAAGTGTTTAATGGCATGAACCCTTTTTTGGTCTTCCTTACGAATCTGATTAACTGCTTTCAAAATGGTCGTCTTTGGCAAGAACAAAGCATTTGCTTTAAAATACTTCTTTCAAGGGCAACAAATGTTGCCATCTATATAATAATAATCTGATTCTTGAAGATTTTCTACTACTTGTTCACCTTCATACAAGTTCCATCTTATTTTATTTATTTTATTAAAAGTAAAACCTTTTTAAAAGTTCCATTAACATAACTGCAACTATGAAATATGGACAATGGAAAGGTATAGTTCTAAGAGAGAAACCTGTTAACAAATGTGGAAAAGAGGAAGGGAAATATTTGTTTCAGATATAAACTGTAAATAAATTAAAACTAAGCAAAATATTCATTTATAAACTTGTTGCTTTTAACCATGGGAAAGTAGAGTATCCAAAAAAATAACTGTTATGTGGCACATTTTCATTCTGCACTATGCAGTTGATTTAAATGGTAATAAAACGACATAGCTTGCAATCAAAGGTTTGAAATGGACAATTTTTAAAGTCTCTGCAAACTATAAAATACTGTGATTTAAAGAATCTATAGTATCTGCCTTGGTGGCTTTTGGGGAGTGAAGATTTGGGAGTGGGGAGGAATAGGTAATGGGTTAGGGAAGGACTTGCTGGTAAGGCACAAGTGGCACTGCAGTTGGTTACATAAGCACATATCTATGCACGTCAGGTTCACACGTCGCCCTCTCCTGAATTTCAGGCAGACGGTTGGTAAACACTTAGTCTAACGCCCCCACAGTCTTTATTCCTGTCTCCATCTTGGGTCCCTTGATTTCACATATGCATTTCCTCTTAATATATACTATGGCAAAACATTAAAAGACACAAATGACTATATTTAATATAGAATCACAGACCTTCATAGCAGTAAAGAACCTCGGAGGATATCTAAACCAACCCTAACTGAATAGTAACCCCATCTACAATTATCCCCAACAAACAGTCTCCATTTGAAGAAAAAATTTGTAAAAATTATTTAAGGCTAGAATGTGATTAACCAACCACTATGATCTCTAAAGATGGACAATCCATTATTACAGAAATATATGTCTAGCAAATGTTGCACAACATTTTGCAGTATTCAGTGCCAAAGAGTCAATCAGTTGTTCCTACTGATGGGAGGTACGGAACTAGGGTACACTCTAGTGGAGCTCTGCCCAAATGACTGAGTTATATAAGGATCAATGATCTATGCTGGGGTTTCTGAAAGACTTAACTTCTCTTCCTACTAAGAAATCTTGTATTACCACCTTTATGACTGATGGAGTTCTAGAATTATAGTAAAATGATTCATAAGCATCTTCCATTGAATATTCACTTTAAAACACACAGAACAATTTTTAACACTACCATACGTGAAAACCATAAATTGCCAAAGAAACAGGAAAATCAGGGTGGGGCAAAGTTCAGTTTCTAGTTCAACCCATATGCATGAAGGCATAGCTTCAATACTGAGCATCCTTGACCCTCCCTTTTCTAGCTCTCCACAAAAATCTTATTAATTCTACTACTGAAATAGCTCTTGAATTCATCTGTTTCTTTTCATTTCCCCCACCATTTTTCAGGCCTTAATGAGTATAACAGCCTCTGAAATGGTCTGCTTTTCTCCAATCCATATAATACCTAGTTGCCAAGTGAATCTTTAAGATTTCTGCTCAAGTCATTCTTATACTTGAAAATCTTTAATGACTTCCATTGTTTTAAACTCCTCAGCCTGACCTTCAAAGACCAATCATTTATCAGCTTTAACACTTTAAGCAACAGTTTCCTTAACAGCCATGGCTTTAAAATATATCCTCTAATTTCTTCACCAGAGCATCCCCTCCTTTTCTTTGCCTAATTGAATTTTCTGCATATTTTATTACCCAACTCAAATATCACCTCCTCCAAGACACCTTTCCTAACATCCTTCCCCCTCATACTACATGTAGCATTGTTTTGTAACTCTAATACAGTACATATCAGGTAACAATATGCATTATAATTACCTACATTATTTTATCCCACTACTAGGCTATAAATTCTCTGAGGACAGGAACCACATCCTTGTGTGTGTCCCCCAACACCTAGCAACAAGTACTTGATACGTTGGTTGTTGCGTTGCATGTATTTTTATATAGTATCCAACACACTTTTTCCTCCTTAAAAAATGCCCCCAAAACATCAATCCTTATTTCTCTTTTCTTTAAAGGCAAGATGAGGAGGATATCTCATATCCTCCAGGGCCTAGGACCCAACTGAGTACACTTTACCTTAAATCAACACATTTAAATTCTTAATTGTAAATAGTATTTTTTTCTTCCAGATGCCTAATCCAAATTAAAATAAAACGTTAGAATTCTTTTGTATTCACTACTCTCACTTAAATCTAGTGGGTCTTTAAATCTATGCTAATCAATCAGTGATCAAATCAATCAGTGATCACTGATTAACTGATTCAAATTATCTATGCTAATGAACGAGGAACAAAATATTATTAGATTCTGAAGGTTTTTAGAAGACAAAGGTGACGTTGATTTACTTATCCTTCTCAGTGGGTGGTATACACCAGATTTATCTAGAAATCTAAGACACATAAAAAGAGGATATAGTTAACCTTAAAGCAGGTGCCATATAACAAAATCTTTGCCATAAAGATTATTTTACCTCAGAGATTTGTAAAAGTTGGTTTTGTCACTGGTAAACCTTTAATTGCTGCTCTGTTACTTTCAATAAACAAACACCTATAGGCACTGAACAGCAGTTCTATCTCCAGTATTAACAAATTTTATATCTTTACAACACACATGAATAATTACTTTTCAAAACTCAAATTTTTTCTTTTTCAATGACCTCTTATCCCCTTCATAATTGTCTTTCTATTTTTTGAGGCTATTTGGGGAGGAAGAAAAGGGAATTCATATTGGAACAAGACCTGGTTTTTCTTTGCTTAAGAAGTGTAATCTTAAAGGATCCTATTTGCTTTCATTGTCAACCTTAAAATTATCCACCATCCAGTCTCTTCTCTCCTCTAATCCAGACAACAATCCTTTGCCAGACACAATTTTCCAAACCATCATTTCATTAACTTATGCAAACAATAATTTCCTTAGAGCACTTGGATTTTTACTCTATTCTTATTACATTCTACCTCACAGCATACTCCTATTGCTCCATTAGCTTAAAATCCTGTCAGTGCCTAAGACTTCATACATTTTGGTAGAATCGAAATTTTAATCATCTATTATGAAAGAGGCATTTTATCACTCATCTGTGCAGTAACTCATCATAACCTGCTGCAAATGCATCAAGTCTAATTTCCCTTTCGTAACTTTCTAGGTTTTTTTTATAACCTTGCCCAACCCATTCATAGATGGGTGGACAGCTTTATTTACTACTATTTCCCAACAGGAAGCCTTCACTCCAGTTGGCTTGTTCTCATTATTTCATGAATGTGCTATATTTGGTCCTGCCTTTGCTTATATTTTTCTTTACCCCAAATAACCTGACTCTTCCCAATCTCTCCCAATTCTAACCATTCTTTAAAATCTTTTGGCAGAGAAACAACTTGCTTATGGAAAACCAACAAACACAACACAACTATTTATTACTCCATGAAGCTCTATGAAGCCCTTTTTCTTAGTTCCCAAAGACCACCACACTGATATATTCTATATAGCAAAATTTTCCCCTTTCCGGTATCATTACTTAAATTACCCAAGAATCACGTCTTTATGCGTCTCATGAATTTCCCCTTCCAATCTCCAGTACAAAGCCGGTCACAGAATATCCGCTCAACAAGTATTCATTTTGTGGTCGCTGACATACCTGTGGCCGGTATGATGCCCTGACAGAGAACCAGAAAGTGCTGCCCTCACCACGTAAGCACTTCTCAGCTTCCCCAGCTAAGCGTCCATATTTACGTTTCCTAGGCAATGGCATCCCACCCATTCTGCGTAAGAGGGGTCGCTGGAAAAAGGCGGCCTACCGATCTGCACATTCCCGGCAACCTTCCAAGATCCCATCGGACGTCGCTGTTCTTCTCTATAGATTCTGAAAGAAAGGTACACACTGTCAATATAGCGGCATCAGAAAAAATGTGATGAAATAAGCTACAAAAGCGTTTTACAGGATAGCGGCCAGGCCTCTAAAAAACCACCGACTCATTGCCCTCTTTCCCAGAAGCGCCAGCTTCTAGCGTGATGACGCCATTCCGTTTTCCAACGTGACCTTACGTTAAGGACAGCAGGAACGTGCTGCCAGCTCAGCAGGCATTACGTCACCGCGTTCTACCGCAACGTACTGCCGTATTGCGGCAGCGTACTGCGTATTTCATACAAAAAATTTCCCCAGCAACAGCCTGGCCAGCCATACTGCGCCAGGTCATCCACTACGTCACCTTTTCCGGAAACTTTTCTGGCAGGACAGCTTAGGCAAGTTGGGTGCCGTAAACTTTTAGAGGAAGTAAAGTAGATGATAAAGAGTGCCATTCTTGGGTACCCAAGATTGCACCGCTGTTTCATGGTACTTAAACGGGCTTATTTTAACCCATTAAATGTCAGTAATACTCCTTGAAATGACCTACTTGAATGCTTTCCGGTTCTCAGGTTTCCGCTTCCGCCTTCTTTAACTCCCCTCCCTACCCCTAGTGCTTTGGCCGGTTTGAGCTGGTTGAAGCTGGTTCTGTTCCTTCTGGCGGTGTGTAGGAGACTCTGGCCACCCTGCTGCCCTCGTGAGTCTAACCGCTTCCTCTAGTTTTCCCCTCTTATCCTTCCTCCTCTTTTGGGAGCATTTTGATCATTTATTTTTGTTAGCCCGAGGCCGCCGGGGCCCGAGTTCTTGCCCACCTGACTGATTACTCCTAACTCTCTTCCCCCTTTCCTCTCCTCCATCCTCTCTCCAGGTTCCTAGCGGTTTGATTCCTGTACTTCTCTGAGCCCCGCCCGGAAGTGGAGCGGCTGTCTGTGGAGCGTGGCTCGTGGCGCATATGCTTGTGTGTGGCCAGCAGAGGGTGCTCGGGTCCCACGGTCCAGCTTGGCGGGCTACACGCGCCCGCCCGCCCGGTCTCCCGCCCTCTCTCCTCCCCAGCACCCTCCCGCCCGCGTGGCTGTTACCGGGTGAACGCGTGAGCTCCTGAGCTCTTAAAAGAGCCCTCCTCCCCTTGCTCTTTGCGCAGACGTTCCACTTTGGGGCGTCTGTGTCCGAGGGAAAGCGGGTGGGTCCTCGGGACCCGAAAGGGGGGGACAAGAAAGTTAAGGGGGCGTGGGTGAGCCTAGAGAAAGAAGGTGGACAACATCGGAAAAGTAAGGGAAACAAACCCAAAAAGTAAGCAAAGTGGCCCAACTTGGGCACGGGATGGAAGGGAAGGAGATGGAGGGGATAGAAGGTAAGGAGGTGGACGGGTCGGAAGGGAAGGAGACGGACGGAACGGAAGGGAAAGAGACGGACGGGACAGAAGGGAAAGAGATGGAGCCCGAGGTAGAGAACAAAACCATTAAGGTAGAGCCCACGGATCCCGGTGAGACCCATCCCAGTGACAATGACCCAGAAAATGACCCCGACAACGACCCTGACCCCGGAGAAGGACCGTCCTCCCTGATTAGGGTCCCCAAGATAGGACTGTGCGAACCTAAACCGGGACCGAGCCACAAGATGATGGACGACGACGAAGATGACAGTGATGATGAGGATGAGGATGAAGATGAGGATGAGGATGAAGATGAAGATGATGCTAACTTGCCCCTGGTAGTCTGGGAGCAGCCCCTCAAAGTGGGCAAGGAAGAGCCCATGGACTATGATGATGACTGCATGCCTGGACCCAGCCGAGCCAAGCCCCTGCACAACTGGGACTCAAACAGGTGTGAAAAAGAGGGCCCCCCCCTGCCCCGAGGGGCAGGGGCGTGTGTGTGCCTGGGGAGGGCGGGAAGGGGAGGGCTGTGTTGTCCTCGGACAGCCCGGCCTGCCGAGCTCTGGGGCTGGGGGCGTGGGGTGCATGCGGCAAAAATGGCACTGTTTATGGTCCTCTCTGCTAGGCCGAGCTCACCCGTAACCTGTTGATATTTCTGCTCCTGCACCCACCCCACCCCCCAAAAAGTATCCGGTGAACCCCACTTTCTGTCTGAATGCTGGGGGACGATCTAGCCATCTATAACTTTTTGCGCTATTGAGTTTCTCTTCCTCGCCAGAAAAAAAAAAAAGTATTTTGTGCTATTTCTGAGCTTGAGCTGTAACTTTCAGCAAAAAGAGCTTTGCAGTCAATGACTTGTCTCCAAAATCGTTGGTCTTTAGCAGAAGCTTTTGAAGGCTCCTGCCATGCTCCTTCTTCCACCAAAAAAGTGTTATTCACGATTGAATTGCTGTGCCTAGCTATCTCTTTCCCCAAGTCACAAATGAGCAGATAGCAATTTTGCCCTTTCCAACTGCACTTCTAAAAAAGTGCTTTGTATTTGTAAATTGAGGTGATTTGTCCTCTACATTTCTCCTCCAAGGAATGAGTATTTAGCGATAACTTTGTTTTTGACTGCATTTTCCCTCAAAAAGGGAAAAAATTTAACATGTCTGTTGGAGCGACGAACCCTCTTCTCATCTTTCCCCGTCACACAAATATTTAGCCATAACTTTTAACCCTGCCCCTAAATCCCCTTCCCCAAGTACTTTACTGGCCTTATCACTCTCAAAAAGTGCTTTGCTATTCTTAATGGGGTGATTGGTTCCCTCTCCTCTCGTCCTCCCCCCAAACCTTTAGCAATATCTTTTGACACCCATTCTTTCCGGGAAATAATGTAGTTTTTTGGCACAGTTAATCTGGGGGATTGGCCGTTCTTCCTCCCAAAGTCAGAAGAATTCATCAGTAGTTTACCTTTCTGACTTAATGGCCCCAACACCAGAAGTGCTTTTCAATTTTTAATCAGGTGATTAACCTCTTTCTCAGTTCTGTGGACGCAACTATTTAGTAATATTTTTTTCCTCTCCTGCAGCACTTCCACTTTATCCCATCAAAAAAAATGCATTGTAATAATGCTAAATAGGGCTGATTAGTCTTTCTTTTTTACTCACCAAATTACAACAGACATGGTTGTTGGGTTTTTTTATTTTTACTGCTCAAGAAGTTCTTTGCTATCCTTGATCAAAATAATCTTTATGCTCTTCTTCCTTCCAAATTGGGGATATTTATATCTTTTGACTCTGTACTTCCTCCCCCAAAAAATGCTTTGCCAACCCTAAATTGGAGTAATTATTCTTTCCTAAGTCATGAGTATTTGCTCTCCTTACCTCCTCTCCCCTAAAACATGCTTTTCAATTATTAATGAAGTGATTAGTATTCATTCTTCTTAGTCACAACTATTTTGACCCTTTTCCCGTGCTTTTAGCCCTCCTAAAAATGCTTTGTAATGTTTTGTTGGGGTGACTAGATGTCCCCCAAAATCTTGACTCTTGTAATTCCCCGCTCAGAAAAGTAGTTTGTAACCCTTAATAGGGTTAGTCTTTTGCTCCCCCCTCACCCTAGGTCTTGGGTATTTAGCGGTAATTTTTGACTCTCCTGCATTAAATCTCATTGCTTCAAAAAAGGGAGTTACGGATTCTTAATAGGGTGATTAGTCCTACATTCCTCTCCCAGCCTTAAATCATCTTTTCCCTCCTGTGGCAATCCCCCCCCCCCGCCAAAATAAAAGTATTTGGGGGGGGTGCTTACTCTGAGGGACTATTTTGCTCCTCTTCTCCAAAGTGGAAGATAATTAGTCGTTTTTCACCCTTCCAACGGATTCTACCTCCACCAAAAAAAGTGCTCTTTGATCCTTAATCGTTAACTCCTCCCCTTTTCCCCTTAGTTATTGGTTAAGCTTCAGTCAGAGCTGTACATTTATATGGTAGCAGATACTTTGAGCAGATTGAAAAGGAGGGAGAGAGGAATCTAATCTGGACCCAAGATATTGATACTTTATTCTTTTCGCTTATTTCAGAGCCCTTACATTGCGCCTAGCCCTACTGAAAAGCTTAGGTGCTTTAGTACCTAGAGCATTCCTTCTTTGCTAAATTAGTTGATTTTACTTTGAGGTTTATACTGAATTGTGAAAGTTAATATTTTTTTTCTGCATAATTGCACAGATTTAGTTATCTTTGGACAGAACGGGATAGAATTAATAGCTGACAGCATTCATATTTAGTACTTAATTATTTTTTCAAAATGCTTTGTATATGTTTTCTCATTTTGTTCTTACAGCAAAGGATTGTTGTTTTAGTAATTATATTAGTAGTTCCTGCAGATTCCAGTTTCCTCATTTGATGAAGAAATTTTATCTCATAGAGTCTGTAGGACTTAATTATAGTTTTAACTGATAAAAAGTATTGAAAAGGGGATCGGAACCCCAGGTTTTTTTTTTTCTTTTTATTCCCAAGTGCGGTGCTCTTTCCACTGCAGAGGAGATAGATTTTTTTTTTTTGTGTAGGTTAGGGGGCGTGGTCCAGGATTGGCACTTTACCCTGATTGAGTAGCGGACTGGGTGCGAGGAGGAGGTTGGGCAGGATGAGGGGGCTGGGCGTGCTGAGGGGGCTGGGCTAGAGATGGTATATATTGCCAGTGCAGTACTGCAGTATACTCCACTCCTTCTTGGGGAAGAGAAGGAAACTTTCCTTTGTCTCTCTCCTTTACTCTTGGGCTAGATGAATTCCAACACTCCTTCTAGCTCTGAGTTCGATCTTAGCAAATTTAAAAATACGTCTCAGAAACTTAGCAGATGTGATGGTACTAGGAAAAAAGTGAGATTTCATTAGTTTCTTCTTGAGATTGTATTACAAAATGTTACCAATGGTTCCCTGCAAAGTGTACGAGATATCAGCAGCCTTTGCTTTTCTTGGGATGGGGTGTGCATACGCCTATTTAAGAATCCGAGTCCCTGAGGAAGGCAGGTGAGTTAAAGGTGCTTTAAACTGTTAGGGAAAATATGTATCAGAAAGGGTATTTGTGAGAAAAAAATACTATCATGTTTCTGTTTTTTACTTGATTTAGTTGAAGTTAACATTGTTGAAATGAAAAATTGCAAGAGGAGATGGAAGGTAAGGTAGGTGTTAATTGAGAAATGCCCAGAAAATTGGAAAAAAGCTTCAAAGATCAGCCTGGCTGGAGACTATTTCTTTTGACTGAAAATACCATTCTATTTGTTAGAATAGCCACCAAAGATGCCTTTTTTTGGGGGAAGGGGGTTCAACTCTTGAAATCCTCTTAAGGTGAGGAATAGATGTAAAACAAGTCTTTTGAAGTAGTCAAACCAGCGATTTTCCAGTTTGGATTTAGGCAAAGTATATTTCGATTTTAATGTTCTAGGAAGAGTTTACTAAATTTATTACTTTTTTTTCCTGCAGTGACTCGGGTTCTGAAAGCTCTGTCATATCCTGTAGAATCAGAGAACTTCGTGGTGAAGATGATGAGGAAGAAGATGATCAAGCTAGGGCTCCGAAACAGAAGAGCATCTTCTGCTTTAAAAAGAAAGACATACCTGCTGCTGATGTAAGAATCTGACTCCTTTTATTCCTTAACATAATTTTGCAAACACATTGAGCCCATTTCCCATGTTCCTACCTCAAAAGGCTAAAAACTAAACCTTTTAAAGGTGGTGATATCCCGACTTTGCCTTAGTTTCTTAATCTTTGAAATTAAGGCTTGATTTGGACTGGTAATTTTTAAGGTCCCTCCAGTTCAGACACCCTATGCTTCTTATTCTAAATTTCCCAATGCCAAAGCATAGGAAATATATCCTTCTTCCTGCCTCTTAGCTGTTGGTGACACTTCCCCATGCAGATTTACAACTTTACATGCAACATGCAACCATCCATGCCTTCTGATCCATAGGTTAGGGAATTGGGCTCAGTAATGATGGGAAATCATTGTTTTAGTTAAGACATTTCAAGAAACAGAATTAGAAATTGATTAGGTGTTAGTATTGGCCATTCTTTTACTCCACCAATGTCTTTTAAGAGACTTGGGAGTATATCTAGAGATGACCAGAACTCGATAAAATTGTGAGAGTAAGGTCCTGGCTATCACTTCTTTGTTTTGGGAGTATTAAGACTAGCACCAGTGAGGCTGTTTATTTCCTGCCTGCCTCTGTTTGCAGTGACACTTTGATATAAAAATATGTATCTTTTAAGAGCAGTAATAGAGACCTTTAACTGGTCCTTTCACTTATGGGAGTTTGAGGTCTTAAAAGCATCCGGGCTCTTACAGACCTTGCTGATACTTAAGATTTGGTTGTCCAGCAACCTTGATCTGTGACTGCCTTCTGCTAGTCCTAAAAAAGGCATTAGTCACCTTGTACCCTAAAAATCTCAGTTTGCCTTCTCTCTCAAAATTAACAGACAGGAAAGAGAGAAAACAGCAATGTTTGTCATATGTGACTATCCTTTTCCAGTCATAATTGTCCTAGCAAGATGATTTTTATTGTAATTTCCTTAAAGTTTTGTAGCCTTTTGCATATAGATCATTTGCATTTCTTTATATGATTATCATTTTTTCCTTCAGCATGTTTAAAAAAAACAAACCAGAACACATGGCATAAACAGCTGATTTTTTTTTTAAAATTAAAAAATTTCACAAAGGGAATGTTTATTTAAGGAATGTTGATTTACATAGGTCTGACTTAATTTCATCTTCTAAACCAAGATCTATTTCCTATTGTTACTTGCCTTGGAGAATAGGGTTACATGAAAGGTGGTGGTAATTTGTTTGCACAGGGCACACTGCCACTGAGGCTGTGACAAAGTCTAACCATCAAGCTATTTAACTGCTTAATGGAGAGTTTACATAAATGATGTGGTGATGGATTATGATTTAATAAAGTACCTGTTGCTTTTTTAATTTGGGAGAATCTGGAACCTTCTCTTGTTTGGCCCCTTGATTTGAGGGGTGGGGTATGGTGGGGGGGCTAGGGTGTGTGTGTGGGGGAAACCATAGTCCCAAGTTTGTACTTGTGGATTATTTGCTCAATGATTGTGATGGAGGCTGCTTTAGTTGCCTGTTGTCTCACCTCTGGCATGGTTGCTACTTCTTAAGATATTTGCAACCAGTATTTGTTTAATGAATCCCCGTTGAATTAAATTGCATAATAATTTCAGATGCACTTTAATCTATCTAACAGGTTTTGCTTTTTGTTAAACTTTGGTCTTTTTTTGGAGAAAAGTTAACCATTGCTATTTCTCTGGCCACTAAATTCATAAAATCCTTTTTATTTGAAGAGTGAATGTTCTGTTGGTTTTGCCTTTGAGGTCATGGGTGACTTTGTTCATCTCAGACTAGAGAAAAAAGGGTGGGTTCTTCCCTAGGAGAAAAACGGAATTTTTCCATGGGAGGACTGGATTCCATTCCTGATATCAGTAGCTGGGATGGACTAGTCCAAAGAGATTCAAACAAACGAATGATGTCTAGAACGGCCAGAGAGAAGTCACTTTTAAGTTGACCCAGGTCTGTGCAGGAGTTATACAGGCAAATGTCTGGGAACTCAATTGGGGTTGTTGAGGGAGGTCTTTACAAGACCTGTGAAAACCAGTGTGCCTAAAAGAAAGAAGAGCTAAGGAGAAAGGTCAAATTAGGGTTTTTTTGAAGGAAACTGTTTTAATGGTTTTCCAGGTACTGACTGTTTATGAGAATGAGGTGGGAGAAAGCATTGTTGACTTATGCTTAATTGCATCTCTGAGTGTAGCAGGTGTGTTGAAAGAATAATCATAATGATGGGTATTCATATAGTTTGCAAAGTGCTTTCCTCATCACAACTCTAGAAGTTATATACTTTAAGTACTTAATATTTTCCCTGTTTTACAAATGAGGACGTGGGCATTGAGATCAAAAAGAAACAAACAAAAATCCTGCTGTTTAGGAGCTGTACTGCATGGAGACCATTCCGTAATTATTTTGTATCCCCCAAAATCAACAAAATTTCCACCATCTTTAGAAGTAATATTAAAAACCAGAGGGGTTTTTGCATATCTAAAATAGTACCACACCTCTACTTAAAAATCTCATATGTCTCCATATTCTACTAATTAAAATTCAGATGACTTAGCCAGGCATTTATGCCCTCGAACTGTTGGCCCCAAACTCTTTATGGCCTAATTCATCATAACTCTCTAAAGCAAAAAAGTATATGTTTAGGATGTCACTGACAGCAATGACCTTCCACAAGTCCCCTGGTATCATTACCTGTTGGACCATGGGATTGAAGCAGTATGGTATTTCTTACTGAAAAAATATGATTCTTACTAAAAAACAATCTGGGGCACAAGTCCTATTGATGATAACATCTTTCCATGTGAAAAAAAAAAGCATTTTAGTTTTTATGAAGGAATAAGTACACATTCCATTTATCCTGTGAAACGTTAGATTTTATGTCAGCATTAATATTCTGATTTTTAAAATGGGAATAATAGTACTTGTCCTGCCTACTTAACAAGGTTGTAGGATTAAATATGGCAAATAGCATGTCTGGTGGTGAAAAGACTCTAGACTTGGAATCAGGAGATTTGACCTCTGGCATTTATTAGCTGTGTGACCTTGGGTGCATCACTTAGTCTTTCTGAGCCTTGGGCTTCTTACATCTGAAAAGGTTATAATACTTGAATCTCGTCTTTGTTATGAAAAAAGCACTTTGTAAATTTTAAAACACTATAGAAATATGAATTTCATTAGCATATGTACAGAAATTTTTTTTGCAAACTATAAAAACAGTACAAATGTGGGTATTAAATAATAAGTATCATTTTTCGGGGTATGGTTCATTTGTGAGTGACCATATACCTTGTACTCTTGTTGTCTTCTTTTTTTCAATATCACAATGCTTAATATACTATGAGATTTTATCTCTAACCAGAAGCCTTCATGAACATCTTGTACTCTAGCAGAGAAAGGAATGAATTCCATTCCTCTTAGGAAAATGGAAATTAGCCCTAGTGACTAATCGATCATAACATGTGATATAGCATAACTCTTACTTGGTTAATGTTATGGCTTTTGTGTATTTTAAGATGGGGTTAGATTTGAATTAATTCACTCTGGTAAATCAAAGTGACCTAAGGAAAATAACATATACATGCACAGACGGCTCCAAAACGTAGCAGCTGACACAGAATGGACTTTTTTCAGTTAGCGCTAGGGATATAGTTGACTAACATTTACTGACCATTAGAATCACAGTCAGCTATAGTCACATCATGTGGCTGCCATATCATTTCTATTAGTGTTTCAAAGATATACTAGTCTAGTTGGAAATTGTTTCTTCCAACTGAAATGGGAAGAAAATACCATTTTTCTCAGTTTATTGCAAACCATAATTATTCTTGGGCAAGTGCATTTTTAAACATGAAATAACTGACCTATAGAAATTATATATCCTGCACAAGTCTTAAAAGACTTAAAATTAATTATGACGTGTTTGTGTAAAAATACGTTTGACTTCCATTATGGAGGTAAAATTAATGCCCTAATCAGAGCCTGTACACTTTGTATTACCTATTCTTTGCAATTGAAATGAGCAGGTTGGCTAATTAAAATTTCTGTACCTGCTACCCAGAGTTAGATAGTCCATTATAAGGTATCTTAGTAAATGGAGAAAGACTGGAAAAAAGCTTTCTACTTGTATATCCCACTTAAAATCAAAATACAAACACACCTTGCTCAGTGAAAATATCTTTCATAATAGATAATTTAGAGAATGATTGTCTGTAGTCCAAAAGAAATAATTTCCATAATTCACTCCAATAAGGAGATCCTTTTGTGCATTTAAAATTTTATTCAATTTGAAAAAAAGTCCTTTTTGAGGAACGTTGTGTTAAGTGAATTACAGAAAAATTTGCTTTGTCTTTTGAATTATTTTTGTTACACTAAATTTTTTGTTGTTGGGATGGGATTTTTATTTGTTTTGGATTTGTGTGAGCTAGTTCTTAAATACGTTTTCATGGTCTTTGGCTAGTGAAAATAATTTTGGAAAAAATAGAAAGAGAACACTGAGGGAGGTAATGAGAGTAAATAATAGGTATTGTCTTTTAAGAGGAAAATTTAATGGTGTAGTCTGCTTCTATTGGCACAGTGCCTAACAGTGTCATGCACAATTAAGCATTTAATTAATTAATGCTTTTTGGTGATGATGTCTAGACAATCAAGGGATTTTCCAAGGGAGTTTATTAAAGTGCTCTCTCTAGAGTTGTTGATAAATTAAGATTAATTGTGTGGTTAAAGTTGAAATACAAGGTCCAGACTGAATTCTGTCTTCAGTGTGTATGTGTATTTTTTTTTTATTTTTTAATTTTTAAATTTTTTAAATTTTTTTTTTTTTTACCAGTTCTTGGGTAGGATAGGATGGGAACAAAGTAGTTGATGCATAGCCCCATGCATTCTCCAGGGTCATATGGATCCAACTGTATCCATAGTAGGAAGGATCTCATCATGTCATTGTGAAAATGTCTGAAAAAAGAACATGACATGATTTGAATTGCTTGCTTTGTTAGGGTTATTATAAAGATCATGTGAGATCATGTATGCAGTGTGTCTTAAAAAACATTAAAGTGCTGTTAGAAATGTGAGTAGTAGGTTTCCCCATTGTCTTTAGTAGCTAAATTAACACTTTTATTTGTAGGCACCTGCTCCAGCAGATGACATGACTCTCATTCTGCCTGAAAGTGTTGAACTACAGCCCTTTGGGAGGGTTTCAGGTATTATCGAAAAACTAGGTATGTAAAATGTTTTGTTAACAATATTCACTATTTATCCTTAACTGTTTGACACATTTTCTTAGTGATCTATATTTTCTTTGTTATTTTATCTTGCAATCAATTAAGGAAAAGGTAAAAAGGATTTTCTTTATATTTAAATACTGTGATTTTTGTCCTGCTCTTTAGGGAATCATTATGAAATTCTTGGATTCTCTTGGTTTTGTCAGTACTTTGCATAAAGTTGCACAATTTTCAAAATTTCAAAATATATAAGAAGTTAATATACCATTTACCCCAAAATATGATGTAGAAAAATGCATAATGAAGTAATTTGTCATCACTGTGAAGTAGGTAAGAATTACATAATTACATTGACTTTGAAGCACAGAGAGAAACTCACACAAAATCACATAGCAAGTCAGAGTTAAGATCCTCCCTTTTATTGTTCCATGTCATTAGAAAGAAGGCAATATTTACAAAATGAAAACCATAGGCTCAGGCCAACCCTGGGTCACAAGTAGTCTTTTAGTACATAGTTGATTTCTTACATATTTGGTAGTTATAAATGTCCAGAGTCCTCCAAATTAGGACATATAAAACATTTCGTTTGTCATATAAGGCAAAATGCTTCTTCCCAAACCTTCAGTTTTATTCCTGGCTGTATGAGACCCAGCCTCAAATTTGTTAATTCACTAGTCTTATTGCCTGTGAATAAATTGGATACCTTCACTAGCACATATAAATATTTCATCTAACAAAATTTTAATAATTTCACTTTTCAAACAGATTGACTTAATACATGTATATATGTAATAGTATTATTTGTTCCTTACATTTTTGTGTCAGGGTTTTATTAGATCAATAGCGGGATGTGTTAGATCAATGAGAAAATGAGAGATTCAAATGGGTCTCGATTAATTAGTTTTGTTTTGTTTTGTTTTTTTAAGAAAAAAAAGTACAATAAAATCAATAGAATCTGGGAAGTTCAAAGAGATGGCTGTGATGAAAAAGACCATATTATTGTGCAATCCATACCTGCTACACCACCTGTGCCAGCAGAAGATGCTTTGAGTCCTGTAAAAGCTTTTCATTTGTCATCAAATAATGCCTGAGGGCAGGATAAAGGGAAATGCGTGGGGGTGGGGGTGGAAAAAGTCCACCAAGTGAGAGGAATCTCTAAAAATGGGGAATTTTTATGATATTCTAAAACGTCTTTATCAATTGTTTGCTTATGTAAATGCCCAAAGCTAAAATTTGCTAATATATAATATACTTGAATTCATAACTTATAAAAATTTTATGATTTGTAGGGTTGCCTTATGAACAACTAGACCTCTTCTTAGATAATAGTGCACTTCCCACATCCAAGAATAGGTTTCAAGGTGTAAGATCCTGCCTTCAATTCTCGTTTAACTTGCATTGAAATTATCAGCTTCAACATCACATTAACATTTACATGTAAACTACCTTTGGCTGAAGCCTTTTTTAAATGCAACAAATTACTTATTCTGTCTGTTTTTTCAGTAATAATTGAATCTGTGACTGACCTACCACCAGTTTGTGAAGATAGCATGATCTTTAAGAGCAACCGACATGCTGCCGGAAAGGTTTGTATAAATTTAAAAAGGGAAAATTTTACCCAATGAAGTTGACAGTACATCATATCAATAGATTTTTTTCCCTCCTCCTATAACTGAGAAAAGATATTATAATATTCAAAGCTAGTAGCAATAAGGCTACCAGCCTCTCCAACACCATATCTACTATCATGAACACTTTATTTAAATCATGTTAAAATTTACAAAATTGCTTTTAAATCCTCGCTTTGGAAATATTGGAAAATTTGGTTTGTAGCTAAACTGCACTTTTGCATGCTTTTGTTGTTGTTTCTCCCAACCCTCCACAATCAGATTTTCGAAATCTTTGGCCCCGTTGCACATCCCTTCTATGTCCTACGGTTCAGTTGTTTGGAACACATCAAGAGAAAGGATATCAAAATCCGAGACATCATGTATTTTGCCCCCTCAATCCAGCACTTCACTCGCTATATATTCACAGACAGGATTAGGTGAGTACTTCTTACTGTAATTTTAATTGGCATGGCTAAATTTCATAGTTTTAGTACGTAACTCTTCTCTGTTGCTTGCTGTTTGTTTTATTAATGTTTTCCTCTTCCTTGAGGTTATGTTGGTATACAGTGTGCATTGCTTAATTTTCTGCCTTTCTAGGGATAGGGGTTCTGATGCTTCCTGGAAGAATGACCTAGAGCCACCGCCTGAAGTAAGTCCATTTTTTCTGATTTGTCAAACTTTTAGGGACTAGATCAGTGATTTCATTAGGGTTAAGAGCTGCTGGATGAAGAAACTTCCCTCTATCATTGAGGGTCAGCACTTTCTCTGCAACTTCATGGCCTGAGAGGATTGCCTTAAAGCACTGAAAGTTTCTAAGTATCTTGGCCAGAGTAACACAGCCAGTATGTGTCAGAGGCAGGAAGTGGAGCCAGGCGTTCCTGGCTTTAAGGCCATTTTTCTGTCTACTGTATGGAGGCTAATGGTATTCCATAAATGAAACTTATCTTTCCAGTTTATCACCAAACATTATGAAATATTAACAGAAGTATTATAAAATGAACATATGAATAGTTCTCATTACTGAAACCAAAATTAGCATCGTTGAACTTGGTGACATACATTCTGTTTAATTAAAATAATGCATTTTTTAAAATGTGGATCTGAGATCCCTAATCTGCATTAATTGCTTCCAGCATCAGTTGGGGAATATCATCTAGTAGCAGTAATGTACTTTTTCCCTCTCTAGGCTGTTGATTTCAGTGATGATGAAAAAGAAAAGGCAGCTAAGAGCAAGAAGAAATACTATGGACGGAATCGGAAGAAGCAGAGGGCAGAGTACAGGTCAAAAAGCAGATCCAGTTACAGCAGGGATGGTCGGAAGGGTTGCAGACCAGAACCCAGGCAGCTTGCCCTCGAGGAAAACAGCCAGGAGAATAGGCAGGATGATAGACAGGAGGAGAAGCAGGAGGAGAAGCAGGAGGAGAAGCAGGAGGAGAAGCAGGAGAACGAACAGGAGAAGCAGGAGAACAAGCAGGACAATAGGCAGGCTTCCCGCCAGGACAATAGGCAGGCTTCCCGCCAGGACAATAGGCTGGGTGCCCGGGAAAGAACAACTTCCCAGCAGGAGAACAGACAGGGAGCACACAGAGATCAGAGAAAAGGTGGCCGACAGGATCAGAGGAAATCTAACAGACATGATCACAGGCATTCCAGCCGCCATGATCGCAGGCAGGATCGCAGGCAGATGGTCCAGCATGATCACAGGCAGCTTATCCAGCAGGATTTCCGACAGGAATACTGTCAGGAGTTTGGCCAGGAGTATGGCCAGGAGTTTGGTCAGGAGTTTGGGGGTCAAGATTATGGACAGCTAGAATTTGGGCAGCTAGAGTATGGGCAGCAGGAGTTTGCGCAGGAGTATCAGGAGTTCCGACAGGAGTACCATCAGGAGTACCACCAGGAATACCATGCTGCCGCTGCCGCTGCCGCCACCGCCGCCGCCGAGTACCATCAGGAGTACAGACCGGTTGCTGAGTTCCGTCAGGAATACCGGCCTGACTATCAGAATCTTGGTGTGTAAATAACGTGACTTGACTTGGGAATTGCTTAGTCGAACTCTTCAGAAATAGAGATTTCTCTACAGTTTTAAAAAGTAACACCAAAAACCCATATCCATCTTGAATTCATTTTTCATTCAAATGCTTTAAACCCATACACTTTCTACTTTGTAGCTACTTTATAGTGTGGGAAATGATGGGAAAAATCACAGAGAACAGTTTATTGGAGTTTTGTTGCCTTTGAGTAAGTAAAAAAGGGCCACTGGGGAGCAAAGACATGCCAAAATACATTTATGTCTTAGTTGTATTGGAATTTTGTTTTGTTTTTGCTTTTGTGTATATGGCTATTTTTCCCTTGTTAGGTGCTTATGGAGGAGAAGCACCCCCAGCTGCTCACTGGTGCCCCCAGCCTCGTGAGGCTGGAAGGAGTTGCTACAACAAACGCGAGTACCACCGAGAATTCTCCCGGGGCAGACACCACAAGGCCAGCCGCTCCAGGTCCCAGGCAGCTGGGCAGTTTTACAGCGCCGAGCACAGGTTGGCCCAGGATGCCCCTCCCTCCCTGTTTGCTCCTCAGCATAGGCAAGACAATTCTCTCATGCAGCATTCCTATCAGCTGGCTCCTCAGTACTTTGACATGCACCATTACCAGGCTCACCCATCTCAGCATGTGGCTTGGTCTGGGCTGCCCCAGCATGTGCACAATGCACACTACCAGCACTTCCAGGGCCAACATGCTAGGGGTGGTGGGCACTGCTCCCAGTACAGACCCTTCTACTAGACAGATCATGTTTCATGAGCTCACTACAGAAACAGATGACAGAGCTCCTAAAAAACATGATTCCTCAGTCTGGTCACTAGAGAAAGTGAACTTGATAAAAATTAAAACACTTACTGTAAAATAATTTCATTATTCAAGTGTTCACGTGGTAAATATTTGTGTACTTTAGTGAAATAGTGACATACTCCTAACATAAGAAATTAGATCTCAGATTGAAAAGAAAACTAAAAAAAAAAAAACCAAAACCCCTCTAACAACCTAACCCTCCAAATTATGTATCACTTAACTAACACTTTGATTATAATCCAGAAGAATTTTCTTTTCTTCTCTCCCCCTCAGTATAGATCTAAGTAGCAGAAATAGACCACCTTTCATCAGAGATTAAAGTGTGTTGAACCATTGATTGTCTTAGAATACTTGTGTTAAATCCAGCAAGATAAGATTTTGAAGTCCCATTGAGAATATGTGGAAAAAAAAATAAAGTTTTTTTTTTTTAAACTAAATGTACTTGTTTGGAAATGGCTTTTGTAGATGCATCATATAATTTTCAAAAATCTTGAACCACATTGATTTGTAAAATTTAGCAAATGGAGATCACAGAATTAAAAACATGCATTCTTTGGCAATTAAAGATTAATGTCAAATTGTATAAATAAATATCGTGGCTTTGAACAAATACAAGATTAAAGCTGACAATTAGGAATACTTTAAAAAGGACATTGCAAATTTCCTTAATTTAGGTTAAGTACAGGGAGATTCTCTTCCATCTTCACTAAGTTGGCCAATTAAAAAAACCAAAACCTTCTAAAGATGAAACTGTAATATCCATTCCCTAGTGAAAATCATTATAAAATTTACTTATTTGGCTATCTTCCATTTATGAGGCATCCTAATGATAAATATTACTTTACAACATGTGTGAGACATAAAGCAAGAGGCTTTTTAGCTCTAGTCAAAACCTCTCTGGGATTCAGATTCCTCAGACTGAAAATGCAAGAGTCAGACTTGAGAGGTTATTGATAAGGCCCCTCAAGAGCTGTGAGGGCCCTAAGAGGCCATATAGGTCAATGCTCTTATTTTGCCGATGTAAAAACTGTGGCTCAGGATGGTTAAATGACTTGCCCAAGGTCACACAGGTAGTACAATATCTATGCAAACAAAATAACAAAAATTAGAACTGACAACAAACATAATCCAAACAGTACTACCTATGTGACTTTAGACAAGTCAGTTAGCTTCTCTGGGTCTCATTTGTGAAATGAGTTTGGACTAGGTAGTCTCTGATCAGTTTTAGATCTGAGATCCTAAAGGAGCCTCATGAATTACCTATCTCGTCTAGTCCTCTCATTTTAGAGTTGAGGAATTTGTAACCCAGAGAGACTGTGACTTGTGCTTTCTTGAAAATTGATTGCATTGGTAATTCTAGTCCTAAATTCTATCAAAAAATGTGGTTTTGTCAGAATAACTTTAGTTTTATCTCCCCCCAAAAAATTTTTTTAAAAAGTGATGAGAATGCTATAATTAATCTTCCTCTACCAAATAATTTATCTTGGGAAAAATAATTCAGGACCTGCCATACATTCATACTGTGTGTGTAGGTTAAGCATTCATTGGAAAAACTAGGTACCAAAAAAATTAGTGTTATTCTAAATTTCAATTCTGCTAGCTTTGCCATAGCCTTATCTATGGTAGTCTTTTTTCTTTTTTACAGGGTCTGAAATAATACTTTGTGTCTGTTCAGCCATACAATGCCATTGTTCTAAATTTGAATAAACTTACCTTCAAATCAGTTTTTACAGATCATTTCTGTAATACACTAATGAAATTTCAAAGTACACAAGAAATTCTTGAGGTTCTTGTCAATATTAATCAAATAAAAAAATTAGTCAAAATCTGGCAAATATTTATGGGTTCATGGATATGGAAAATTTATATTGAAGGTGTCTGACAGTAAATGCACAGCTATAAAGGTAAGTTAGTAATTATTGATATTATCCATGCAGGCAGCAAATAGTAGCCTAATTGTGCTTTCAGGTGAGTGTTCATTTTTCATGCATTAATCTACAAGACAAATTTATATATATGTATATATATATATATATATATCTGTTAACTGTTTATATATCTTGGATACCAAACATTTACCAGAGAAATTAGATGCGAGATTTTTTTCCTACTCAACTACGTCCCTCCTTATCCTCGATGTACAGTGCACCTTCCTTTATAACATTTCACTTGGCATTCCTAATACCATTTACTTCAAAACTAAATGGAAAGTCTTGGCCTATAGAACAAGTGAAAAGGGATAAACAAGAAAGAAGTGAAAGTTAAGAAAATTAGTAAACTGAGCTTGAATAGCTATAAATAAATAAACTGTGTAAGATATTCATTTATATTGTATTAATTAAGAAGAGACCTTCTTAGTCCTACCAAGTCCTATCTTTAAAAGAAAACTTGATGAGGTGAGGTTATCTTGAGGCAAATCAAATTGTTGGTTGGACCTTTATGGAATTTATCATACTTTATCAGATCTAGCTTCTAATGAATCAAATTTTAAAAATTATTTAAAAACCCATATGTATGTGGGAAACTAAATTTTTTATTTTAAATCTGACTTGAGAGTTAAAGGCCTGTGAAACTAAATTTAAAATTTTCAGAAAATATAATTCACAAATAATACATTCTAGACATTCCTCTCCCCCTTGAGAAATTCATAAATATCATTGTATACTGATTATTTTTAAAAGCCTTTTTTCCCTTTTAGATTCTTTCCTATTCATGTACCATCAATTTTTTTTATTTATTTTTTTGAGCATGCCATGGGAAAGAGTATATCCTTAAGGTAGTACAGCGTGCTAAATGCTTAATGTCATCAGAGCATTGTGAGAGGCGAGGCAAATCATCTTGTACCTCTCTAAGCCTCTAGTTTCCCTATCCAGAAGATGGGGATACTAATACCTATAGTACTTACCTCACAGGGTTGTTGTGAGGGTTCAAAGATTAAATAAGCACAATTGACATCTTACCATCTAAAAGTGTTACACAATGGCTAATTAACTAAAGTCTTAATTAGTTACTGTTTGTGCTGCAGTGGGAAGGCAGTTAAATGGCATGCCGTGTATAAATATTTTTCGATCATGAACCCCTAAATTGTAAGGGGGTCCTATATGTCCCTCTTAATTCCTAAACTATTCAAATAAAATTTAATATTTTTAGTAATTACCAATTCTAATTTGATCAAATGCATGCCACCCTAACAGTCTCCCAATTCAGTTCATATTATTTTTTTGAAAGATACCATATATGATTAATTTCCAGTACGTTAAGTTGAAAGACTTTTAAAACCACCACTAAATAAAATTGAGACTTAGAATGATTTCCTCAATATTCTTCCTCACCAGGTAGACCATAATTGCAATGCAAAATAAACAGGCATCATCTGCATGATTGAAACATATTGATATACTACTACAATTTAGTCCAATTAAATGTATTTCGTTACCTATACCAGTTTATTTAACACCTATTAAAATGGATAGTCAGTTGAACTTCTTATCAACTATACTCTTGCATGCTATAGAATTAGGGGCATCTTGGTTTATATGTTGAGTGCCATAGCTGCCAATTTTTGACTGTTTCTTTATGAGATTGAGTGGATGCTGGGTCAGAAATATCTATATTGGAAATACAATATTTTATCTGGTTCAAACAAACAAACAAAACCTATCAAAAATTAATTTACCAGGCAGGCCCCTTATACTTGAAAGGGGGCTCTGATTCCAAACTCTCAGATGAATAAAATGGCCTTAGAAATGTTAACCACTATGAATAAATATTAGCAGAATCAGGAAACTTGAGGTTTGGTTGCTTATAGTATTAGTACAAAATACTAAGTATGGCGATTAGCAGATACTAGAGATGTAGATGGGCATACCAGACAAAATCAAATTAGTAGTCTGTGATCAAATTTTCTTTTTAAGTAGATACTGCATGTAGTGTGACATGTCTGAACTCAGAAGAATAAAAACCAAGTTATTTTTTGCTTATGTGGTAATATCTCTCATAAGTGCATCTTATTTCTTGTGGAGACAGATGCTATGTCAAACAGAGAGATGATCTTAGGATCATAGGTGACTCAGATCCTAATGGAGAAAAACAAACAAACAACAAGCCCAAAGCAAAAAATCTGCTTGTTAGCATAGAACCCCAATTAAAGAGTGATGGCTACGTAAAGGTGGTCTCTAACAGGTTTGGGGAAAGAAAACTCTAAAGGGTTCTCAATAGTGTGCTGGAGTGAATGTGCTTTATTCTACATCCCACTGCTATTGTAAAGGTATACCTGCCTGCATTGTCGAACAATATCCCTTCCAAGAGATGGTTTGACATTGTTGAGTTCGGTTATACCGATTGTGATGAATGTTGCTACCCATTCAAAGCTAAGTAATTTTTATTTAATGTATAATTTTCTTTTTGGCCAGCTGTAAATACCAAACAGTACAATATTAAGTATGTTGTAGAGTATATGTAAACAAATGAATTTTAATATTTCAAAGTTAAAGAAAATAGCTAGGCATTAATTTGATCAATACAAGTTTTGTATGTTTGTAAATATATTGAATCAGAAAAATGCATAATACCACAATCCCAGATAACAGTCATTTTTTCATAGGTGGCAGCTACTCAGCCATGTTCAAGTAGTGTGAGTTACATCCAGTTGGTTACAAGCTTCTAGTGATTGGCTGTGTGATTTCTAAAGTGGTCAGGAAAACTGCATGAAAGTACATAGATGCCTCTAGTTCAGATGAAACATCAGTAGACTGCTGAAGAATAGAGCTCAGTTGAATGCTTGGACCCACTATCTTTTAGTTAGTATAAACTTTTCAAATTCTTAATATGCACCAAATGGTCAATGCCAGTCAGTTATATAGCAATGAATCCAATGCCTCACTGCAGCAGTTTTAGAAATATTCTTTAATATTTATCAACATATTTGGTTTCCTAGATTGTTTAGCTTGAACGCATCTGTTGCATCTTAATTTCATTCGTTTGGTGATTATAAAAGAGGGCAACTTTAATTCAAGAAGTAATTTGATGTCCTACTGGTATAATTACTCTAGATGATAATTAGAAAAACACTTATTGGTATTTTCTTACTTTATTGCCAAAGATTGCACAGAGATCCAGATCTCCAGAATAAATAAAAAGAATTTAAATTTTTCTAAAGTATTCTAAAATGAAAGCATTATCTGCAAAGTTTAAGTTCTACACCTAAAGAAAGCAAGTGTACAAATTAAGAAATCCATATCTGTTTAGTCTGTTAATAAGAAAGCTTTGAACCCTAATAAATTATACTCTTAAGTAGATATCACTGACACAACTATTGGGTTTTTTCCTCTTTCCTCCCCTCTTGTCTTTTAAATCTGACATTTACAAATGTAACATACACAAAAAGTTATTCTTATGAAGTTGAAGAACATTTGCCCATTAAATAAAATGTTTGGATTTATACCCAAACTATTTATCTTAGAAATATTTTACAGTAAGTTTTTTTTCCCCCTTAGAATTTACATTTCATCAAGGCCCAGCCCAAACCCACTTCTTTTACCAATCCTCTGACCATTAAAAAGGACAATGATGTAAATTCATAACCCATTCTTCATACCATTGATCTGTTACTTAATTGTATGCTGCCTTACAGGGATTTCTTTGTTCTGAGTCATTATTTAACCTTTTATGTATGTATGTGTTTTTTTTTCCCCAACTAGATTTTAAACTTCTTGAGGGCCAGGACCAGACATTGTACTTCTGTATGTAACCCCACAGCACCTAGATTGGTACTACGTACGTAGTAACCCCTCCATGAAATTTATTGGCTAATTCTATCATATTTATGATCTCAAAACTCTAAAGGCTTTGTATTGGCAGAGATGTTGTACATAGCCTCTGGAGACATCCACAGAAGGTGGTTGTGTGCCAAGAGATTGTGAGAGAAGTCAGTGCTCCCTTTGGGCAGTTTTGCTCCTTTTATAACAACATTACCATGCAACTAGAATCCCAGATGCAGATGACTCACTTCATTCTTTAATGGAGTCCACTTGTCCTATTGAATGGGAAAGGAAGGTGTGAGCTGGACTAGTTGGCTTTCTGAGGACTCTTCTGTGACAAGGAGATTCTATGAAGTGAAGAGAGGCATTTGAAGGAAAGATGGGCTAGTGTCCTGAACATGAAGGAAAAAACTGAGATGAATAATATTTTAAACCATTTATCTATTTTATGGAATCTACAGCAGTTGATATGAGACAGACTGACTCGGGCCTCTGCCTCATGTACTGCTAGTCCAAATTAGAGCACCAAAATATAAGTATTTTTGTGATTTTCAATAATTATGGAGCATCTTTTCCTCCCAAAGACTTCAAATCAGTTTTCAGATATCTCATTCTCATAACCAAATGAGATCAATGGGTAGAAAGTCTCATATATTAAATTTTTCCTGAACATCATGTCTTAAGAATTTCCTTTGGAACATGCTGAATTGGAGGTCCTTGTAGAGGAGCAAAGAGTGAAGATCACTGAGTGAAGCAAAAGCTCTCTCAAATCACTTAGCACTTCTAAGGCCCCAGGGTCCTTTGAAATTGGCACAATGTTAGTATGTCACTCATGTAAATTCTGTGTCTGTAAAAGAAGGGTCTAAGGTCCCTTCCAGTGATAATGATGTGTGTTTCTGTGATATATAATACTGTAAAAATGCCAAAAAAAAAAAAACCCCAAAAAAACTGTGAGTAAATGTAGATCTTTAAGTATGCCCAAAAAACAAAAAAGACCCAACAACCTATATACCTTTAACTTCAATGTTCTCTTCCTTAAGCGCCAGTAGTTTTAAGTGGTACTTAGATTGTCTTTCTAGATTGTCAGTAGCTAATTAATATATTCTTGGCGCTACATAAATCTTAAACTGGTACTAATATCTATGTTAAATGTATCTTTCTCTATTTGATGTTATTTCTCTCTTTTTAACTATAGGATAAGTAACTGTAGAGTAAACTATAGAGTAAAACTCTATAAAACTCTAGAGTTAAAAACCACCATTTGGGGCTAAGGGCTATATCGCGATTGGTGCTGGTGAAATTTGTGCCGTAAACGACTTAGTTATTCAACTAAGTTATCGTCCCTGTAAATCTGTTGTGGAGTGCCGTAACCCAATTATATTATGCATGTATATGTTGATATCTTAAATGTTTATTGATGTTTAAATGTTCAAATAAATGTTCAAATAAATGTTCGCAAAATTAATGAAATGGAATAGTGTCATTTGTATGCCTTTTTGCTTTTTCTCTCCCATCTGTCCAAATTGGTACCTCCCCAATTGAATGGACAGTTGTCCATATAACTGTCAGAGTTTTTTTCATTTTAATGTTACTTAGACACATTCAACTAATTTCAGATCTTTAAAACAGTAGTTAAAACTGATCTCAACTACTAAAAGTCATAAATGAAAGTTCTCTCAACAAAGGACAATATTTAATATTTCATGTCACATCATAACAGTGTTAGAACAATTTTTTTTTTGTTGAAAATCATGTAAATTTTGAAAAATACTCCCTTATATCCATCTCTGGTTAATACTCTCCATCCCAAATCTATAAAAGTAGATCATGGTTTATGAACATAGGTACCTGCCAAAAAGTTTTTGATTACAGCATTGAAGTCATGTTTAGTACATCTCAGATTCAAGACAATACAACATTTACTCATGGGGCATCACAATGAGCCACTTAAGTAAGGGCTGTGCAAGGAAATGGGTTGTTTTTTGTATAGGTAAAGAGTCATGTGTATTAGGTTGAGTTCTGATTGGGGTGCTTGGAAGTATAATGGGAACACTGCTTTTTTTGTACTTCTTATTCCCTTACTGGAAGAGAAAGAATTTGAGACTAGCCTATTCTTTAGGATGTACGTAAGTTAAAAAAAACAACATAGCATTCATAAAGCTTCCTTGATGAGAATCTGGCATTATAGAATGGAGCTGTGAACTTAATCCAGTTCCTGTAGGTGAAAGGATCCCCAAATTGCCTTGTGTTCAGTGGCAAATACTGTTAATGTGCCCTGAGTTATACACAGAGTCATAGTATGGTACAATCAGAGTTTTTGCCCAGGGCCTGACATGGATGGAAGCATACTGCTATACCCCAGGATCCTGTGGCCATCACCCAACTCAAATGTGGTCAGCTTTTCCAATGGAGTGGATTGATTATTCATACTCGCTGCCCTAGCTTGGGAGATCAGTAACAAAGATGAAGATGACTTGTCAGCTGCCAACCCCATCGCCCTCACAAATGCCCTCCTGCATATGAAATTTAGCCATAGCCTTACTCAGTCCTTAATTTATGCCTTTTTTATTTTGCCCACTGCCATACTTCTGTCATTAATAGGTCCTTTATCCTAGAACCCTATTCCTACATGGTCCAGTTCCAATCTTGGAGACATTCTTCAAAATCATAACTCCTTGGCTTGTAGTTCCATCTGGAGTTTTTAGTAGGTACTTTTAGGAAATCTGCATATAGGAAACGTGGTTCTTGGGTGGGTCTCCAGAGATGTGGGTAACCTGGTCCCTGGCTCCCATTAAAGCACTTGAGGTAACAATATATTTTGGATACAGTATAGCCTTTATTCCACCCACAGAAAACAGAGGACTACTTTAATCATAAAAAGTCCGTACAGTTCTATCCCCTCTCCCAGGTGAGTCCACTTTCTCCATAGCTCTTTATAGTTTTCTGGACTCCATGCCATCCTGTGAATTGGCCTCCCATCAGAAGGGAAATGAACTTGAAGTTGCTAGAGGGACTTCTACATTACTGAGTCCTTTTATCGCCCCAGGAATTCATCCATCAGGTTTCCAGTCTCATGATATTTCCCCAAAGGCTTTGACTTCCTGGGAGGGGAAATACACTTGGGTCTCTAGACAGATAATGCCCAGACATTCAAGTGAATCCCACTTCACCCCAGATATCTATATAGGTATCTAGCCTGACAACTTATATTTCCCTTTCCTATTTGACCCCCAGTATCCAAAAAATTCACTATTTTAGCAGAGCAAAGTCCATATGTTATGGCTTTAGTTCTTTACTGTTCTTTAGGAGTAGGGGGGCATCTGCATTATCCTTTTGTTTACAACTAGATAATGCTGCTTAGGAAGCCTCTTCACTCACTAGAAGGCTAACTAGAACTCATACTCATGGAAGCTAATGAGGCAACTGAAGGCTGGTTCTCTCAGAAACCCTGAGAAGGCTGTAGTTGTGGAGCTCTCACTACTTGACAATGTGGTTCCCCTTCTGCTTGGGCAACATAATTGAAAGAATCATGCCTCTTTCCCTCCAGGGCTGTGTCTAGGCATTCAGAGTAGATGAGGTAACTTCTTGAGTCTTATGGGTAAGGGCAAATGTAATTCCTATTTTTCTTCTCCAAGGAGTCTTCATCAGTGTCTACAATGCATAGTTCTTAGATGCTCTCCAAATTAGCAATCTTATGTGAAGATCCAGAACTTTAGTAGATGAGTGGACCTTGAATTTACTCTTTTGCCCAACAAAACATATAAAGTCCCTTTAGGTTCATATATTTCTTGCTACTTGCTAAGGACTATTCCACACCCGGGGGATGGGAGAGTGTTGGATAAATGAAAAAAGAGAAATGAATAACAGAAAAAATAAAATATTGAGCTTCCTTCAGAAGAAGGAAAGCAGAAGTAATGTAGAAGTCCCTCTAGCAACTTCAATTGCTAAAGAATAAAGCAACCCCCCTCCTATGAACTATAGGAATCCTGGATGACCCTTCCAAATATAACTCAAGAAGCAGTACTCCAGGCTCTAGTCTTATAGATAGCTAAGGTTCAATCTCAAGAGTGACTCAGGATTGTCTCTGGGAAATCTCAGAATATATTGCTTGAATATATCTTGTTTAACTCTCCATAGATGGAGACTCAGCTCCTATAAAGGGTTCATGGCTCCTGTACAAGAGCCGAACATAGTAATGGATATTGGATCTGGTATAGCCTTTATTCCATCCTATTGACAAGGTGGAAAATGCATAAAGTGCTTCAGCCCACAAACAGTCAATAGCAGAGAAAAAGTTCAAATATTTCAGTTCCCCATGTTGTGGCTTAGGTTTTTTGCTGGTTCTTTATCTTTGGAGTCAGAGATATGATCCTGTCCCCCACCACCTCTCCCTTTATCCCCACCCAAGAAGTTTTTGCTGTCCAGAAACTCCCATGTTTTCTCTTGAAGGCTGTCTCAGAACTCTCAAATTAGGATGGTAAGATGACTTAAAAGCTAGTGCTGCCTAGGAACTGCCCCTTCTATCTTTAAAAGCTGTTGCCCCCAAATTCTTGAACTCGAACATACCAGGGACAAAACCCTGGAGCTGTCACTGCCTTAGTATTTTTAAAAAATATTCTTCCTTAGAGGTTGGGATACAGGAATTTCTGCTATTTGTCTCTGTTTCTTATAGTCATATGAGAGTATAATGCTTCTGCAGAACTGCATCCAGGTTCTTAGCTACCATGTACTTGGGCTCTAAGAAATCTCTCCTATCCAAGGGTCAAGGTCTGATCTTTTAATTCTCCTAACCTCTGATCTGTCTTCTGAAAAAGGGGAAGGCAAAAAAAAGCAAGAGGACTGAGACTGTGATGAAAATTTCTTTTTATAGAGAGATATAACAACACAGCAACAGCAAAAAAAAAGATCACAGTAATAAAGTTCTGGCCTAGATGGAAGGAACTCTAAAGGAAGAAAGATGTATATTGTGTTGTTTCAGTCATGTCCGACTCCTCATGACCCCATTTGGAGTTTTCTTGGCAAACATACTGGAGTGGTTTGCCATTTCCTCCTCCAGCTCATTTTACAGATGAGGAAAATGAAGGAAACAGGGTTAAATGACTTGCCTAGGGTCACAGAGCTAGTAAATATCTGAGGCCAGATTTGAAGTCATGAAGATCAGACTTCCTGACTTCAGGCCTGGCGCTCTATCTGCTATTCCACCTGGCTGCCCTACTGTCATGTAGGGACCTTCAAATTAATCTCTGTATTCCACAATAAGTTAACACCTGATTCAAATAACAATCCTCAACCTCAACCCTTCTCCCTAGCCTTCCAGTTCATCCAGTCTATCTCAGGTTTTCACAGGAGTATTCATACCATATACAGCTCTGATTACATTTAACATTTAGTGCCAGAGTTCTGCTGCCAGGAGCCAAGTTGGTGGAGTAAGAAGTAAATTGTTCTCACTCTCCTTTACTGACCTCTGAAAGCCCAGAAACTATTGCCCCGGGAAAAGCCCTGGAACAGCTGAACCAGCAGAAAGACAGGGTGCAGTAGTCTGGTAGCCCAGGAAGTTTGGGGAATTAATGTGAAAGACCCCTCTTGCTCTGGGGGAGGGGGAGCAGTACAGAACAGGAGGCATCCCAGCAAGCCAGAGGAAAGCCCTACCTCAGCATACCAGGGGGAGATCCTGAACCCCAGAGTGGTGGAGCAGGCAAACACCAACACCAGGATCCCCAAGTGCCTCAGTGCAGGCAGGGGAACCAGTGGAAACTGGCTCGGAAAACCACCATGTGCCACAGCATTCACTGGCAGCCAAGTCTTCCAGTGCCTCAGCTGAACTCTGGGAAGCACAACTCCAAGAGAGAAAACTCCAGATGGAGAAACATGCTGCAGCAGCAAAATATATATCTGCAAGGCCCAGGTGAGCAGGAACCAAGGAAAGAAATGCAAGACCTAG